GGAGTTTTGTGAACAATCGGTGAATTCCTAATTTAGGGAAGAAGCCGATATGCTTATACAACTATTGTCCATGCCATGCCATAGGTAGCACAACATATGTTGTAATATGTTGTTTTCATCTGATAAAACCGGAGGGCAAACTTGGGTCGGATAGAAATATTTCCATACAAAGTTGTTAATCAGTCCAAGCAGTCGAGCGCCAAACGTTGCCATGCTCCTAACCTGTCACGTCACAATGACGTCATAGCTGGCAGCTTTGCGGCCGTGGTGTCGCCAGTCAAGGCATTTCGTAACTAGCAGTGAGATGAGTCGCTCGTGTTAGGACGTTATTGGTAGGTAAGTTCTCAGTTTCTACTTTTGAACTGATTTAGGAAATTAGATGAAATAGTTTATAGTACGACTGCTGTAAAGCAATATGAATGTTGTGGTAACTAAGTGCTTGCTTCACACAATGTTTACACTCAGACGTTTGTTTAGCCTGTCACCGGTGGGAATGAAGGAAGGTCTGGGTAAACATCACGCGGCGTTTCACCTGATAGACTTGTTATATTTGATCACAGTATGTGCTTGTAAGGGTTATCCTTTGGCCTGATAGCATTTACAACTCTCAGGGATCGGAAGACGTTATGAGACTATTTTAAATCTGTCCAGTCAAGTATTTCATTTCAAATGTGTTTCATTTTTATATTCTGCGTCAATGAAGAGCTGCATTGAATTGAAATACATCCCCGCTATAGCACACGGTCAGATGTATCAGTTTAATCGACATTTTGACACAGTACGAAATCGCAATTCACAGCGCTATTTGCTGTATGTTTTGAAATGTGAGAATCTGATAATTACTGGGAGTACTGAATTTCAAAAATAACATATTAATGAACACCGATATCACTTTTACATGATATCGCTAATAATAATTCTGAAACGTTGCCGATGAATCTAGAATTGGTTGGGATGTTTTCGAAAATACTCTTACACGAACGCTTTCCGCCATATTGGATAGTCTTTACAAAATCACGTTTCGCGAAGGCCGGTATTGAGACGCCTATTACATCACGTATATTTCATATTCAGCTTCGAAAAATGTATCACTGAATTCCCCATACATTTTAGAATCAAATTGCAACTGGTCTTTGTCACCAATACCAACTGTCCAGATAAAATGACACGAAATATATTAGGTGTGAAAACGAACGCTGTGTTCGAAAGACAGCGCTGGTTCGAAATGTAAACAAAGACAAATTCCGATTTTACACTGCGTAGCATTTTCTGAAATTTTCCAACATTTATCCGTCTATTCATTGCTTGCAATGGCTCAATACCTTTGGAATATGCATGGGAAGAGTATCGTAGTAAGAAATAGGAAATAATAAATAGATACGATGCAATGATTTGATAATTCATAAGAAATTGTCAAAGTTTCCGTGCAGCGTGACGCCATGACTGACGCAAAATCACGCAGAACGACAAGTGTAATTATCAGCATTTCTGGCTTCTTCTCTTACTTACAGTGAAAACGATAAAAACATATAACAATACACCGATAGTCCGAATCATTCTGATTACTTACATGTCATATTTATGTACAAACGATCACTGAATCTATGGAAGGGTCCTCGCAAAATCCTGTGTATCCTTGTCAGCAAAGCCGCCATTTTGTAAGAAATAGGTTATCGGTAGTGATGTCATACGTCAACATTGTTGTACATATTAGGCAATTTCTTTGAGGTGAAGGTTGGTTGAACAAGCGTAAACACAATCGCCCAATCCTTCCGATTACACTGTCAGTATTATGATGTATATTTTGCGGATAGTTCAGATACTTTTTCATGAAACTGACCTCAGTATCTCCATTTAGCCTTGTCCAATATCATATCGTACGTGCATATAGGGTTTACGGTGTTTTATTCTTTGAAAGTTTTTGATTGTTTGAATAATATTTACATAAGAAATTGATACATTTAGTGCAGTACATTATGTTCTAAACCTTTACACAAGTGTTAGAAGATCAAACGTAGCCATAACTGCAATTACTTTAGTTCCTATGATGTACAATATTCAATGCATTTGAACTAATATTGCAGTTTCACATGAACAGGTTAATGAACGGCGATTTGATAAACCTTATAAGTAAAACTGATAATATTTAATGAAAATGATCTATGTATGTTATGAAATGTATATGCACACATATTTAAAGGAATTATCTTGTTTTTTGCACGTTTTTGTGTCGTTTTATAGAGAAAACAATAGTGTATATTGATTGGCCAGGTGCGCGTTTGTCGGAAACGTTTTATATTTCACTATCATTGTTTTCGATAATATAATCAATTCATATTCGATTTAAAAATATTGTGATGACATGATATCAAACTCTAACTATATTTATACGAAAATTGTTTAAAAATATATGAACCATGTCATGTCTTAATTTAGACAAATCTTACATCCATATTCTAATATATAGTACGTACTAGATCCATATATAAAAAGCTATCTTTTTTGCATCTTCCATTGCATACTTATGAAGAGAAATAGCTACATAATCATAAATAAAGACAATTCGTATCCTAAATTAAATATTCGGGTGTTGTGAAATGTTATTTTCCATTTACGTTAAATAGATGCCAAACAGGTGCGCGTGTTGCTCATGATAAGATACACAGTCAAACTGTCTAATTGTTGATATATTCAGGACACTATTTACATGGAAAAACCAGTCATTTTATGTTTTGTCTAAAGAGTTTTAATTATTACAAAAAAGCCGAGACCTTTCACACAATTAATGGAAATTAGGTGAGATATATACTAATCAGCATACCAATGCCGTCTTTTTCCGACGTCGCAAAATGCACAAAACAAGCAATGACGTCAACTAAAATGTTGTATTATTTTCAGCAATTTCATTACATTTGAAGATATGGCTAGTACTCTGGTAATAACGATGCAAAATTAGTCAAAATACATCTACACAAACAGGAGAATATGGGAATCTAAGAACTAACTTATATATCAGATAGGGCCATCCAAATCGCTATTACGTGCTTTCACATGTAGTACGTTGTCATCTTTTCTTATAAATTGTGAAACTACCAAAGCGCATCCGCTCACATTGGGGAACTTTGAATTGGAATAGTTTGGTTCACCGTGAACAAAAAATAACGAAAATATAGCGTCCATATCCACAATACATACTCTCCATGTGATCTGAGTTACATTGACCTAGTATTAAGCATAACGGAGTTATGCCCACTTATCATTATACGTGTATGACCTCTCTGTCGTCGTTTGACGTCGTAGAAGAAAATCCATTTTTGACATTTATTGCTAGTCATTTTTAATGTTGAGCGCATAATGTTATGCATAAGCACATACATCCAATTCATATACACTTATGTCGTTCAGATATCAGGCTGTATTTTCTTCTCTCACACTTTCCGTAAATATGCCAAAATAAAAAAAATCGTAGCACTGTGCTTTTATCGGTGCGCGATAAAAAGGGGAGAAATTTACTGTTTTTTAACGCATAACAAAAATTTGGACAACATTTAGCAAGGTCTATTTCTCAAACCGCCGAGGTAGTTGCACTTATATTTTAATATTCTACATTTCTGTGTACTTTTATAACCTTACGTAGATCCAGGACCACGCGAGCGCAATTCTCGCATAACGTTCACTTTTCAAAGCGTATGAAAATGTGCGCCTGGCATCAAGGGGGTTAAAGATGTTTACAATGAAGACCTGTAGATTTTCTGTGTTAACAATGAAACCTTCATGTGGGAGACATGCATTTCTGCAATATTTTTAAAAAGATACAACTGAATTATGGAAATGCAAATATGCTTTATTCTCGTTATTTCTAATGTTGAAACAAACGGAATGTTAATCACTCGGACAGCCGACATGTCGATCTTTACCACCGCACACTGCCACGTGTTTGTACCCATGTTGTTTATCAAAGCACATTGCTTCCATCGACAAGTACGGTTGTGTCAGCTGAAGTTTCCGCATCAGACAGTACTAAGTAGTTCTGAGACAATTGCACTGCCGCCACTCGGTATTCTGACATTTTGTGAGTGCTTCACATGTACAGAGTTTACCTGACACAAAATTTAAACTTTGTTGCACAAACATCAAGTCAAGTGGCGAAACCGCATTATCAGTGGTTTGTTGTCGTTTGACTGACTGACTGACTGAGTTTAGTTTTACGCCGCTTTTAGCAATATTCCAGCAACATCACGGCGGGGGACACCAGAAATGGGCTTAACACATTGTGCCCATGTGGGGAATCGAACCCGGGCCTTCGGCGTGACGAGCCAACGCTTTAACCACTAGGCTACCCCACCGCCCCTGTTGTCGTTTGATGTTGTTTACTATGTAGTAACTATTTCATGCATTTTGTATCAATATGTGAAGGAAGGGCATCTTTGAATTCCAGCCACGGTTAATGAATTCAAACTAAGCAGGTAGTCATTCCATAAAGAGGAACTGAGTAGGTATAAGTGCAGATGGTTTTTTTTGTTTATCTATTTTTGTCATTTAGAGTAATAATGTGAATAATCATGTACTAGATCTATATGTTTATATGTGAAGTCCCCGTACAATATAGTCGTTAGTAACATAAACTTAACGCTGAGGGCGAAAAGATTCCTTAGTTTATATGTCTATATTTCAAACAAAATAACAATCTTCATTTGTATTCATTCACTATGTATTCATTTACTACATTTGAACAAAGAGGAGCATCTCAGCTGTTAACACACAGCCAGTGCACGGCTTATTACATTTTCAGATTCAAACTGTAAAAATGAATTTGGAAAGGCTCTTTGTTTCGGGCATAGACACGCGGTCTCAATGAACAGTTATCTCAATCAAATCGAAACATACATTTTTAATACTTCTGCTTTAACAGATGTATTTGGAGTGTATAATGCATAATATTGAAGGCAAACCTTAGTGTGCTTTATGTAGTTTTCTGGACAACATATTCCCTGTTTCAGCCTCGACTGACCCGAGCCCGAGCAAGACGGTCCCACTAACGCCAGTGACGCCATTGGCGACACAAGACTCAGATCTACAGGGTAGGTGTGAAAACCCAGCAGGCAGGAAGCTCAGTATCTAATTCTCCCAGAATTTAACACGCTGATGTATATACCCGTGGAGATTCTGACTTGAGGGATGAGTCTCACCTGTAGTAATGATCGACGTTCATGTTGTCAATCACAGGATTTCAAACTGTAAAAACTAAATTTAAGAAGTTTTACCTTTTTCCTGCATAGACACGCGGTTTCTATGAATAGTTATCTCAATCAAATTGAACAGTATATTTGTAATACTTCTTCCATAACATATGCATTTAGAATTTAATCATACATAATATTGAAAGGCACAACATATGTGGAAAGGCGAAAACAGAGGCCAGTAGTTATAATTCTTATTTGCTTTATATAGTTTTCTAAAAAGAAATATTCCGTTTCAGCCTCGACTGATCCGAGCTCGAGCACCAAGGTTCCACCACCGCCAGTGACGACACAAGACTCTGATCTACACGGTAGGTGGGAAAACCCAGCAGGCAGCTATAGGAAGCTCAGTCAGCGGGAATGCTGCTGAGTGTGGCGTTAAATAAAAAACAGAACACTGTGACATAAACAAACGTTATAACTTATTACCTAAATATAGTATCATCTTGTAAAGTTTAACAAACATTAACACTGTCCAGTCGTACACAAGATATTGCTACAACTTCTGGCTCTAACAGAAAGTTCTGTATTAAACACACAATCCATAATTCCAGAAACCATATGTTGATATTCCCGCCATGTTGTATTGTTGTCAGCCGTGATGGAATTGTTTAAATGATGTAGGAATGTCCGAGTCACGTATATACATGATGGAAACATTGTAGATGTGTGACGAAGATGTCTGATGTACACAGTTTACTTTGTGTTGCAGCGACTCCATCACCAGCCACAGACCGCGACCTCTACTCCGCCAGCGAGGACGGTGACCTGGAGAGAGTGAAGCGGATCCTGGGAGCGGGTCACGTGGACATCAACAGTAGATGGGGACGGTGGAGCAGGACACCGGTGATGGAGGCAGCACTGAAAGGACACAGAGATGTGGTGGAGTTCCTGGTGGATAGAGGGGCTGATGTGGCACTGGTGGGCAGTGGCGGTGACAACATCCTTCAATACGCCTGCATGGGTGGAGACCTGGAGGTCGTGAAGCTGATCCTGTCACTGAACGTGGTGGACATCAACACTAGAGGAGACTACAGCAGGACACCGGTGATGGTGGCGGCACTGGAGGGACACAGAGATGTGGTGGAGCTCCTGGTGGATAGAGGTGCTGATGTGTCACTGGTGGACGTCAACGGTACCAATGTCCTTCACTGGGCCTGTTTCGGTGGAGACCTGGAGATCGTGAAGCTGATCCTGTCACTGAACGCGGTTGACATCAACGCCAGGGACAACCGTGGGCGGACAGCGGCCGACTGGGCGAAACTCTGGGGACATCAGCCATTGTTGGCTCTCCTGGTGTAGTGTGGGACGTTCTCGTTGTCGTGTTTACAATTAAGGTGATTCCCTCTTTTCTTTGTGAATATAAATAAAACTTGTTGATTGTATTTTCAGACATTTGTCATTTGTTGTGTTTGGAACCTCGCAAGATCAGGTAAGAAAATTGTGAAGTGAGTGTAAACATAAACGGTGAGTGATTGTACGTAAACGTCACCCGTCTTAACATAATTCTGTGTTAATTTTGTTCTGAGAATATCGCGAGTATCACAAATTACAAGAAATGTTGAAATCACACAACAAGAGAAATCATGTAACAGCGAAATAGACGGCCCGATCCCAGATGTACATTAGTTCTTAGATTGCCATATTCCCCTGTTTGTGTAAATGTTTTGAGTAATTGTTCACAATTATTGAGGGTACAAGTCACATCTTCAAATGTAAAAACATTACTAAAAACATTACACCATGGTTTGTTTTATGGGTTTTGCGACGTCGGAGAAAGACGACATTAGTATGATCAGTCAGTATATGTACCTCACATAATTTGTGTTAATTGTATGAAAGGCTTCGTTTTAGCTGTCATTCTTTCCAGAGAACATGAAATGAATGATCTACAATTTAAATAATGTCTCGAATAGATAAACAATTTGACAGTTTGATATGTATCTTAATTAACCTAAATGGAATAGTTCAAAGCACATGAGTATATTTTCAGGACAGGAGTTTTCTTTGCTCATGATGATGTGGCTATTTCTCTTCAGGAGTATAGAATGAAAGATGAAAAAAGCCTCTTTTGTATGGAACTATCGGAATAATTATGTAAGGTTTGGTCAAAGGAATATTGAATATTGTATATTGCACACCATACTGAAACAGTCTTGGTCAGGGACCGTTCAAACCTAGAATTATTTCGGGGAATTAGCTCCGGGATCATCACGCCTCCAAACACGGACAGAGAGGATCTGAGGGAAAACAGGAATTCTTCATTACGTGTGGGTGAACGAACATACATTCAATTAACATTCAACTAATTGGTAATTCAGAATTATTTATCAAGACCTAAAAATATAATATTGATGCAGAAACGTAACGAGGTATGGTATGGATTTACAACTTCTTTAATATTTAATATCTATACCATACCTTGTTATGTTACCTTCCAACTTCTAAATGCCCACCAAGCATCTGATGCAGAAACTGTTCAGTTGAAATTACAAACAATATGACAAGAACAACATTTAGATTTAGATAATAAAACATATTGAATTGAGAATGGCAACGCCATTCACGTTGTACAAGTACTGGTTGTAAGCAGCCACGACTTCCTTTACTAAAAGGACTTATATATTCTAATTGTACAAACTTCGAACAACATTTTAGATTAAAGTAAGATAATTTCCTTGTTCAAGTAGAGTAGCACGGTTATAAGGACTTTATGCAAACTTAACCAAATGACAAAGTAACAAGTAAACTTGACTTACTTTCAAAATCAAACAGAGAGGATCTCGGGCGAAACAGGAATAACTCAGTTGGGCGCTACCTCTGTATTCATACCCGAGATGTCCTCTCCGAATTTGAAAGCAAGCATAACTCGCTGGTCACATGTGTAAATTTGACAAAGCTGGGTAGCCAAAGGAAGGGAAAGTTAACCTACTGGAGAACATCAATGCTGCAGGAATGTTACAGTTCGGGTTGGTTTCATTTATTAATTAATTTGGTTTTGATCATCCGTGTCTAGATCGTCAATGCACCTAAACCGATAATCACTGTGTTTGGGACACAAAGAGGCCTAACACTTACTAATCCCCCGGTGTCCCTGGCAACGTTTTGAGAGCGTGAACGTTCTAGTGCTGAGAATAATTATGCAGGTACGGAAAACTATGTGTCTTAACTGGATTGAGAATGTGAAAATATAAGATTGTAGAATTGATAAAATCTTGACGAAAAGTATAATAATCTTGGCACTGTTATAATAAGAACAAAAGGCCTAGTAGTACGTTTCGTCTGACACTTGTGTATAGGTTAAACATATGATGCAGTACGCTATATGTGTTACTATCGCATGTAAATATTGTTCAAACAAGCAAACACTTTCCCAAACTACAACATGTGAATGAACAGTTTATACCTTTTCAGCACTCAGTAAACAGTATTAACTTGCAGTACTGGTTTGAAGTAAGGTAGCCATAAACACCCAAGTAATTTACCTTCATGGGTAACTAGTAGTATCAACATAAAACGCGAGAAAATGAACTGTTTTGTTCCTGTTTTGCTTCTTAACATCGAATAAGGAAACAATTACTTCATCTGAAAATCAAAAAGAATGTGTACTCAGTGAGCATATTTCACACTGCTGACGCCTCATAATACCTATTTAAAATCCAGAACTGACTGAACCACGCATCCCACATTTATAGTGTATCAAAGAATAAAGTCAGAATCTTGAAAATAAAACATTCCCTTTCACGAAAACGCTATGGAATCATACAAAATGGGAATGAGTATATTTTGGCTTTAACTGTCAAACACTTTTACCATCTTACAGTTTACAGTGTGACTTATATTACCTTGTAACTTACGTTCTTTGTAAATCTAAAGAGTTAAATTTTATTAAACGATAAAAATGACAAAAGCAGTAAAAATCATTGCACCAGATATGTAATCAAAAGAGAAGTGAAACTTATTCTGGAAACATGGCCTAGACAGTCGTGCAACATTGATATATCTACAAGTAACAATCACATTGGGATAAAACAATGAGAACATTGGAGATTAATTTATTCAGAAGAATATGTAATTATGATAACTCATTTTATTAATTATTATGAAGTTTGAAAGTCATTTTGGTTTAAACATATTTTTTTATTATTTATGAATTGGGATTGGTGAAGTATTACTGCTTATGTTAACACCGCTCCCATGCAACAGAAAATATAAAATGAAATGGAGAATGTGACGTCATCGATATTGACTATTGCATAAATATATCGGCGTTTGGGTCGTTAGATCCGAGCCTGAGGCAACAATGAACGATTTGACAAAAACAAGAGCCATAATTAAGATCAATATAAATCTTGTTTTCGTTTTTTGTAATTAGGTTTTAAAATTCTTTGGGACTGCATGACTTTTTGGTATTTGGTAGGGCATTCCATAAATTTATTGTGTCGGGTAGAAAGGGTTTGGCATAAGAGGCATTTCGACTCGAGTTATTTCAGAGTTATTTTTCAACTATAGCTTGTAGTTTCGGAGACGGAGTAAATCTGAGTAGATAAATTAATTTCTCTTTGATCACGAAGTTACCTACTCAAAGTGTTTAATTATTAAAGACATTTACCTGAGTATGTTAATCAATTTATCTTATAAAGTTTCATTAAGTTACCTCCACAAGATTCAGTTACATAGCAAATCAGTATTTAGCTAGGGTGAATCCATTCTATCAGACAGGGGAGTATGGTGTGTTTTCGTTGTTTATTACCTACTCCACTGTTTCACAACTGGAAGTTCTCACAAATGGGAGTAGACCGATAAAACATTTGTTTACCTTTGGACCCATACTTATTTAGAGTAAGTTAAAGAACAATCTGTGTAGTTGACAAAATGTAGAACTTCAATTTCATCAACATATTTAATGGTTTTATCATCTTAAGTAACGATTCCGTAAGAAATATGCGTATGAAATTTACCTTACACCTTTAGCAATTTACATTAGGGTGCAAAAGTGGCATGATCTACAATGGAGTCCATAGAACGAACATAGCTCTGCTCGCATGCAGACATTCAAACGGGTACTAACAAGTGATTTTTGGTGTCTTTGGGGTTTCTCATGTAACGTCACGGACCATTGTAACTGTCAATTAAACGTAAAATGCAAAAGTAATCATCCGTTCTGCGTTGATGCAGTGTTAAACTATAGAACGAAATATTGTTTCAAAGTAACCAATGGTCCCTAACGCTTCGCAGCAACGTTACAATATGACCACCGTCACGTATGATTACGTTCATAAAACATCGGTCTCTAAAACGAACATTACTGGTCGGTGTTCAACTAACCTGTGTCATTCGTAGACATAACATGCTTGCTATCTAAACTATATCATGTCATGTCCTACATAACACATTGTTTGGTATTGTAACATTTTCTAGTTTTTAGTTATGGGTAATACAGTCTGACATAACGTAAATTACACACGTGCTGTCGACAATTGTTTATTGCTTACAATGCAATTTGGTACGTTTTCACATGCGTATTTGATGGGGTTTTTCATAAACAGTTCTTGATTGCTTTCAAAACGTGACTACATTCGACTCGTGGTAGCGGTGGTCATCTTAGAGGCAGCTTTTATTGACGGGTACATCACTCACCGACACCAGGAAAAGCGCGTACCCCCTACCCATGTATGTCAATCCCTGCTAAGCATTTGTTTAAATGACTGGTTAGTTTTCTTGCTTTTCGTGTTTCCTATACTTTACTTGTTATAATTAATGTGCTTTTTGTTTCATGAATCGCATCATGCAAACGCGACGACTGCAGTTGTCGACTTTAATTGAGAATGACTAAATAAAGAAATTGACACCAAGCTCTCTTCCTCATGTGTATCACGTCTAGGTTTCTCTCAAAGACATGAAGGCTAAATACAGAAAATGAAATTGGCTTCGCGAAACAATGTCTGAACGATACACAAAATATACATTATCATACTTAAAATGTAAGTAGCTTGATAGTGTGACTATGTCTATTCTTATTTAACCGACTTTTATCTCAAACATATTGCCAAATATGTACATCAATGCTGAGTTCACTGACATCGGTACGCCGCATTTTGCGAAGGACCTTCCGTTGATTCAGGAATCGTTTGGACATAAATATGTAAGTAATCAAAAACTTCCTGACTATCTACGTATTGGTGTTTCTTTCTGTGTGTTAGAAAGGTCGCTGTTGTCGCTGCATCGTTGATTTTGCGTCAGTCACGGTGGACGGAAACATTGACAATTTCGTTATAATTGATGAAATCATTTTTATTTTTATTTTTTTTCCACACCATTTTTACAGTTACACATGTAAAATATATTTCATTCTTAAAAGTCTACTATTCGTTGGCAAAATATG